CCTAGTACATTACGAACTTCGGAACATATTCCCGCTAGTCTGACAGTCATACCGTCTGGCGTCCGCTAGTCATGCCGCTAGTTCCTAGCTCACAAAATATTGTACTGCCGCTAGTGTGTTTATGTTCGTTCTAGTTGTGTTAAAAACAACATAATTTTTTCAGTATCATTATTATGCAATGTAAAAAAACATATAGTTTATTTTCGACTCTGAATGAAGATGGTTTGATCATTTAATATTTGGTACACGGTAACTCGAGTCGCGCCACTCTCCCTATGGCGCCTTTTAACAAAATCCGTTAAAAGAAAGGCATCAAATTGCTGTCTGGAGAATTAGTCAGTAGTAGACTTATTTCCATTCACTTTGGAGTTTGGAGTGATATTATTTAATAAAATTTTAGGTACAAGAGGTATTGATAAATGAAAATTTGACGTGAATTATATGGCTGTTTCTATTATGATTAGTGTACCTGTTCATAAATTATCCCTCAAGACGTCCACGCTGCTTCATCTTCCTGTATTCAAAATCAGTATGTCTTTGTTCGTTATATGATCTACACATAGAATATCTAGTTCCTGCTATTTTGATTCAATAATAGATATAAGTTTACTGTTTGTTTATTTATTTACTTACACTTTAAAATGCTATTCTGTTAATTAATAGGAACTTGAGTAGTCTAGTATAACATGAAAATTTATTATTATTAGGGGTCCAAGGGATAAGATCCTAAGAGGGTTAAAATATCAACAAAAATGTTTTATTAATATAATACCCCTCCTGAATGCTACCCTGTAGTGCTTCAATTTAATCTAATAATTTTCATATGAAATTTAACACCTGTCTTAAATTTACTATACAATGCAGGAATTTAATTACTTTTTAATCTTTGGATAAAGTTTTTTTTTTCACTGTTGAAGCATTACGAAGCAGAAGTGCAGAACACCCTGACAGTCTGACTTCTTCAGATCTGTTAGGAAGTGAATGAGTTCATAGGTTACCAGTATAGTTATCTTTCCATGCTGATGGCAGGAACAAGCTTCTTGGAGTTCAGAAGTTATATGTTGTGGCTGGTAATGAGACCGCACGAGATGTTAATGATCAGCTACAGTCATGGCATTGTGAATCGCTTGTAGTAGGAATGTGCTTGAAAAACATTTCTACATACAACAGCAAGTGGGACGCCTGTCGGAGACCACCACTGCCGTGCTTCGAATGGACTATCATGATACCTTCCCTGAAGAACGTAGCCTACAATACATCTTGACTGTAACGTTATCAGCCGCACGCCACCAGACAGATCACATCCATTGAATTAGATCAATCAGCCCACAGGAAAATAAGCCTGGCGTCGTATGGACCAGCGTCGTCTGCCAACACGCGAAAAAATTTTACACCACCCGGACGGAGCGCGTCGGAGCCGTCCGTATCTGTCCCGTGTGTCGAACCAGCCCACGGTCGAACGGCCACGCGTCGTACGACGATAAATTTTGGAACAGAACTATGCTATCTGGAACCTAACCCCAGATGCTGTGAGCTAAAAGTTACGTAATTTAGCGAAGCTGTAGAAGCCGCTCGTCGAAGGACGATAGATTTTGGAACAGAACTATACTTTCTGGAACCTAACCCCAATGCTGTGAGCTAAAAGTGACGGTCTGGTGGTGCACGGCAGGATGCACACAGTTCCACTGGCGACCTGGGCTGGTTGGTCACAGTCCATTGTCCGCAAATTACAATTCGAGCTAAAGTCAGGGTATGAAGTGATGATTCGATGCAACGTTCAGTGGTGCATAACCATTACTTTCTGGGCTATTCGCTTTAGAATATGGTGGCGTAAAGCTCCTAATATTTAAAGCAAGATGATGTCAAGGGCTGGTTACCGACGGTTGGCTAACTCCGCGGCTGATTGGTGGTCATCCGGAAATATGCTAGGCGTTCCTTTCAAGGCTGATTGGTGCACAAATTTGGTGGTGCACGGCTGCGTACCCCAGCAAGTTTAGGGATGCTTGACCCCCGTTTGTGATAGAATTGGGCTGACGCCTGCTTTGGTGCATAATAGTTAGCAAAATATATTTTTTCCTATGAATTAACATTGCAAATAAGCTATATTTAGTTTGGTGATAACATACATCTTTGAATTTCAGGAAATGGCTCCTCATCTTCTGGCGAAAATTTCCAAGCCATCTCAACGGATGAAGCTCCTTCCAGTGTTGTCCCTGTTGGAGGTACTGCTGCCCGTGCACCTGCTGCTGATATCCTACCTCATGCCTTCTCTTCTGGTGTTCTTTGACAGTCAAGAGACCATACTTCTACCGGTACTCCAGATCATGGTAAAAAAGGAGAAAGCCCCTACAGAACTGGTGCATTGGAATGTACGAGTCTGCAGTTGCTTCAGCAGCAAATGTTACAATTTGCTGGTTGCTAAGGGCCTTCTGAAAGACACAGATTTTTGGCTTGCTCTTCATGACATTGAACTATACCTATTCTTTCACCCACAAGGACAACAAAATTTGTCATCAAAGACAATTCTATTGTTGAAAGATGCCTTAAAAATGCTTATATATTTTGATGCAAACCACTAAGTCTTCTCTCTAGCTCATTAAGAAATTAATTTCATCCGCCTGGTTTGAAATTTGGTCCCGGCTTTTGTATATTGTTACAATGATTTGAGAAAGTCAGAAATAGTAACTTATGATGATGTGGGCTTCATTATTCTGTAATTTCGTTTGTTGTTTGAACTGGTTTCTCGAATGCAATTTGAAAGACCTAAATTTATTTTTGCGTGATTTTTTAATAGCATTGGGGTTTTGGACCTCTTCTATCATCCTATTATATTATTATACTCATTTTATTTTTGTGTTACAAAACATTTTAACCCACGGTGTGGAATAGGGACTGAGCTTTTATTTTCTGTAAGAGGATTATCGTGCTTCTAAAGTAAAATTATGTATGATATAAATGAATTTGTAAGGAAAGGTTTTGCTAAAAGAGCAGTTTCTAAATAAGTATTGTTCGAATGTTACTTTTCTTTGATCACTCCTTCCACAACATTCGCACAGTGCATGAAGTGTACGAACATTCGGTTCGTATGGTAGGCAAGCGATTTAACGCCTCAAGTGAGTCATACCTTAAATTTAAAGGGTATTGTTGGTCAGTATGACCAACAAATGGGGCAAGTGAGTCATAAAAGTAGATCAATTTAGGGACGGGCTATGACTCACCTAAGTGGGTCATCCCGATCCACCCATTTCTCTCAGTGTGTTGTGTGTTATGAATGACAAAGTGTTCGTATTAATTTGCTGTTTTATATTCCGTCTCACAGAGTTTCACCTGGATGTCTTAAAAAGAAATGGGTCTACAATTTTGGAATTGGTGTTATGAAAGCTTCGGTTCTGTTATGAGATCTTGAGTTTTAGTGTGTCGGGGGAATATCCAGCGTAGATACAGTGCTTGAATAAATATGGTAGGCGTGGTTCATGTGATCCTGTGAATTTCTTCATCAATCCCAATTTCATGAGGAGCTGCGGTAGAAGAATTTTATCAGAAGGCATCAACTAGTAACAGAGGGAATTTATGCACAAATTGTGAACAACCTTGGCTTCAAATGCTTTTTCTTTCAATAATTTCGTGTGGTTTCGACTGTCCCTTGCAAGCAGAAAATCAGGGTATTTGGTATGCATAGCTTATAGCTCTAGCAGCAGACGCAAGGCTACCAAATTCCTGCCCACTTGCCAGAAGTGGTCGTTGTTTTTTAATTCCCGAGCTTCGAACGTTTCCTTGTGTAACGACGACCTGCTGGGATAAAACCTACGCACCGTCGTGGTCTAGTGAAACTAGTAAGAAATTTCTTGATGATGTTAAAAAAATAAATCATTCCGCAATATCAAAATCACTTAATAAATTTGGGAATCATTCTTTCGGAATGTACATTATGAAGTAACTTGACTGCTTCTAAAAAGTGAACAAACAAGTCAGAAGTGAACAGATGATAATTAAATAAATTTCCCAATTCGATAATCTCCTTAAAAAACAAATTTGGTCGAGTATCATCTTCGCTGTCATAACCTTATTCAACGGCGTGTTCAGACACCCTACGCACGTCAATCTTCATTGATATTGTTTCCAATACGATGAGTACAACTTCTATCACAATTAGATTCATTTGTTACTTTAAATATTTTATTTCCAACGGGAATAATCTCCGGTTTCCTCAGTGATAATAATTGAGTAGAACAATTATCGGGGCAAACGCTATGGCGGGGCTGAAACTTGATACATCGTTTCGCATCTAACACGTTGACTCCAGTTGCTTCATCTTGTACCATTATTTAATTTTTTGTACTATTATAAATACAGGGTTACCAGTCAATCTTGTTTTCCGGCCAAATACCGCGATTTAGTTCTTTCAATTGCGTTGGCTGGGTAAAATTTATGATATGGGTACTTCTTAATTAAATTAAAAGAAATTAATTGAATTTTTACAGATCAAACTACAAAGATACTAGTATATATTGAGTTACTGGCCTTTTTGGCCTTTTTTGTTTACGGACTTGGCCGTTTTTAGGCCATCTGGCAACCCTGAATTATTTACTTCTACGTCATGGAGAAATACATTTCGTGGTACGCATATGTACCACTTCGGAGTCAACGTGTTGACTTAACTCAAACGTGGGAGATCAGAATAAACATTTTCAATTGCATATATACTTGCAAGCATTAAATCAGAGCGGACAACATTCGCTATAACTTACCCTACAATAATTTTTATCAATTATATGATCTTTGTTTTAATTTCTCTGTGAAATAAGAAACATTTTAGGTTGACAAACAATTATTGGTAGGTAGTGTATGGATCTAAATGCATATTCATTATAAAATCAATAATTAAACAGAGCTAATATTATTGTTAAGATTGTTAACACAAGAAGAAAAGACAGACACTACTCGGGACGTTCAACTTGTTTCCTCTGCATTCTCTGATGGCTTGTTTTAAATTTGTAATAAAGATAAAAGCACAAGCGCGTGTGATGCCTACACCGTAGAGTGCTGACTGTCATCTTCTCCCTCTGTCTTCGTCTCTTGCACGGTCACAAATGGAGGTCCAGCGCCTGCACACACAAGCAACAAGATTACAATTTCATTTTTTATCAATAAAACCGTTCGCTGCAGTTGAATGCTGATGTTTATATAAGATAGAATTTGAAATTTTTTTATTTAAAATGAATTTTCAATTACTGAATATACTACACGAATTTCAAACTAATTCTACTTTTTGCCTGAAAAATTCCTCTTGCAAAAATTCAGATAACAAGCCGCTCAGTACAGCGTTCCGCGGATTCAAAAAATTCAAGATGCTCGAGAATTCCGTTCTCTATAATCTCGATTTTCATAATCCACTTTTTGAAAAAAAGTCAGAAAATTCATGAAATACGATATAGATCATAGAACAGTTTAATATGATAAACAATTATCATCTCTTGAGGTTTTTTCGTACTAGTGCTATACATAGGTGAGGGCATTGTTATTTTGCTTAACAGCACTCTATTAGTATCAGCAAAGTACTTCGTCTTTGAACGCTATCCTGTCGATAACATATACTGTGATTGTAGCTCCTGTCGATGACATACTCACCAGGTATTTTTTGTGCCTGTTGAAGGTGGGATACTTTGTGCAGCGGCATTCCGAGTTACTGCGAAAGCGAAATGAAGAAAAGTTAAATGTGAAATGAAAGTAAAAAAATCAAGTATTAGATATATCATCAAGCAATATTGATTACCTATGCCCATGCAAAAACTTTCGAAATAAATTTTTACAGTCTCCCATAATTGTGTTCTTCATCGAGCTGCCTCGAGTCTTCTTCTAGTACCATAATTCATGGTTACATTAATCTGCATCAAGGCAGGCATGAAAAATATATAGTTGCGTAGAAATATTGGAAAATTTTTGTTTCTGGTCAGCCGTGATGAAGCAATTGTTCCGAGTAGAAGCAATTGCAAGTAAATCGGTTGACTCTAAAATCTGTCGCGCATTGCAATCACAATTAGATGCAGGCCGTGTGTTTGGCAACTGAACATTTTACCAGCACCTAACGTGTCGATGTCCAATATTTTACGATCAGTCAACTATCGAAACAAAGTTGCGTTTTTCAAAAGAAAATAATGAAAGGACTGCATAATGAATATTGGACTGAACAGTAACTGTAAAATGCCTTGCGCGTGCCCGGCTTTACCCAGTCGAATTTTACGTTCCATTAGCGGTGGCCCCAGAATACACACAGTCGGTTTAGAGGAGAATCAAGCGCATATCGGCCACCTACATCATTCGGCGGCTATTAAGGAGCCGATTGCACGCTAGACCGAATGTTCGTAATCAAACCGAAAAGCGCAGCTGCTTAGGCTTCTCTGGTCAGACGTCATTTGAATGAACCATGATCATCTCCCGCTCATGATATGGCGTCGATGTGTGTTCACGAGTACGTTTGTTAACTCATATGATGGAACAAAATGGGACCAGACTTTTCAATTTTTTTAGCTCACGTGGTAGTTAACGAGTAGTTCTATTACGTGCTTCACAAAATTCATGGATAAACTTGATACAAAGTACGTGGCAGCAAAAAATCAATCCCTTTAGCTCTATCAGGCAATTTCAAAGTCGTGCCATGAAGTAGATGACTGATACCTAATTGGCAGAACCAGCAACAAATGCACGTTCGGTTTTACATTCAAGGCCAACAAATTTATATTGAATATTCAGGTCTCTACGATGTTGGGATGGCACTGCTTGGTGGAGTACGTGTAGCTGTGCACTGCCTGGTGAAAAGCATTGTACATAACAATATACCTTCGTATCGTAATTTCCAGCGAGTAATTGGATATCAAGTGTGGCATATACCATGAAATTGTCCCAAAAATTTATATAAGGCAAAGGCACATTGGTTAGCCGGATGGCCCTAATATTTGAGCAAAAAATGAAAGCTCTGGAGGGATGAGTGAACAATAGCTATTCTGGATCTTCAACCCCAAAAAAACAAAGAGGTATATTTTATTTGGGCAATACTGCTCATATATACAAAGAAAGGTTTCGGATGATCGGCTACTTGTTTCTTGGTTTGAACCTTCCCTTACATATTTACATACAAAATTTGTGGCACTTTTTCACGTACGTTACTGAGTAATGGTAAATGAGGTAGATAGTGTGATACCGTTATGAAAGGGGAAGAATGTTTGGAACTGGTGGATGGCAAAGAATATTTGGTACTGCTGAATGGGGCAGAATTTTTGTTATGGGGCAGAGAATTAGGATGAATTTTTGGTGCTGTTGAATATGGCGAAATGTTTGGTAATGTTGTAGTATTTTTTTCGTGCAGATTGGAGCTGATGATTAAAAAAATGCACAAATTGTTCCATGTTTACTACACGTCATGAAGACTAAAATTTTACCAATGTAATTTTTTGTCCAGCTGGAAAAAGGTCGATCTCTTCATTCCTTCGTCCACAACTATACTTTTTTCCAGTATTTTATTTTTGCTATCTGTTCTTTCTATATGTTCTTATTTATCTTTTATTATCTGTTCTGTCAGCCTTTGAATTAGATAAAAAGTTGTAATAGGCAATCAAATACTCCTCCCTGCTTCCCTATAAGGGAAGAGAAGGTATTTTGTCTGTTTTCAGATTTGACCGAGCACATCCTGGAAGGTATCAAGTGACTAATACTCTCGTCATATATATATAGTACCCAGAGAAATTTTTGTTCATTTGTGTATTCCATGCATAAAACATGATAATTATTGTCATTTCATTATGTTTATTTGTGCATTAGGTTCTAATCCAGCCACAAATAAAACAGACAAATAATTAAAAGTAATATGCATAAATGTCAGAGGATTGCTTCGATTAAAACATTCAATAATATATACATATATAATTACTATAAATAATTGCCTTATGAATACCAATAATTCATAAACTCGGCGTGCTATGGAAAGAACCAAGACAGTTTTTAATTTGGGAGCGAAAATTCTTTTCAGCACACACAAAATGGTATCAAAACCATTTTTTACCAGTGTATTGTGTGCATGATTTGCATCATTGCATTTTTAGTTATCATTAGAATTTAGCTTTAAAAGAATACAAGACTTAAAGAGCGACACCAGACCCTAATAAGTTTAATTATGTTTTTTTGGCAATAAGTAAAATCAATGTATTCTCAATGCAACTTTTTGTATTTTCAACGCATCATTCACAAGTGTCGGTACCAAGAAGTACTCACACTAATACGTCCAGATGACGGCGGTACAAGGCTGGTTATGGTGGCAGATTTCTTACAGAAATAATAATTCACGGCGAGATAATTGTACTGCGTCCACAGCAAACCGTTGACTTGGGCCAGGTAGAAATTGGAACTTGGAGTAGGAGCTGAAACATACGAGTATATATATAAAGAATATGGCAAAAATCATCATATGGAAGATCCCTGAAAAAAAAGATAGATTTTGTCCAGCGTAGCTTTAGATATTGGAATAATACTAGAGTGTTTTCTTCATTTTGATTAATATTCTTTCAATTGCAACATACTTGTCAAATAAGAACTTCAGTTTTCGCTTTACCCAACATCGTGTGACCCTCACATTTCGAAGGATACTGAAATCGCTGTTATTTTCATCAAAACAAACTCGTTTCTATAGTAAGCACGAGCTGAATAATGAATAACTTATGGCTATTGGTCTTTACCACTTTATTAACAACATTAATTTAATGACTTATTAAATTATTTCAATGAGAATGATGCCCTTGCTCCTTTGCAGCAAGTTTGTGTGACTCAAGTCACATCCGTTATCTAGTTCAGCACAAACCTGTTTAGGGCTAAAGATTTTACAACCAAAAGGGTTAAAGCAATCATTTTAAAAGAGAAATGTTAATATTAAAAAATTTTAAATAAGGAAATATTTTTTTCACGTCAGTGAAAGATTTTTTAGGTCGAAAATATATTTTTTTCAAGTTAAGGATATGATTTTTTAGGTTGTTAATAAATGAATGGATGTAATACTTTTATTACATTTTCCTATTTCAAGCTGTAAAGCGTTGTTTTATAATCTTTAAAACAAAAAAATATGCAATGGGGGTAAAGGGACCAGGGGTGGCAGGCCGCCTTGCCCCGAGCCCATATGGGCCCATTGCCCATGGGGGTGGGGCAATGGGCCCATTTTGACACTTATTACAAAATAGTGTTTCGTTGAAAATTGAATAACTCTATAAGCTTCTTATTCACATCATACATTCCTCAATAGTTGTAACTTTCAACAAAACAATGAACTACCTCGTATCAATTGAAACTTCATCAAAAATTTAGTTTAAAAAAGGGGTGGGCTCGCTGCACCATGTTATTCCATATTTTTAATTTTTTCTATGATTTTCTCGTCTTAATTAATGAACAACTTATTCTTGTTTCAACTTGATAAACTTATCGAATGTCAGACTAATTTTTTATTTTTTTATCTATAGATCAGAAATGCCCAACATAAGTAACATGTAAAAAAATTAAATGATTAGATGTATTTTGATCTCATAAATGAATTTCCGTTTCGTATATAAGTAACTAGAATCTTGTTCAAACGTTAATGCTTTCTTATAAATAAAGGAAACCTCTGCTACTGATTAAGCTTCCAAATGCATCACATGGAGCAATTTTAGATGAAATTCTGTGATAAACCGCAGGCGTAATCGTATCCCTACTTTCGAATTGTCTCCATAGAATTTTGTTACGCATAAGTAAATCGAAATGGCTGTTCATTTGTTCATAATAAATGCAGTTATGGACAGCCATCACAATTCTCACATTATTTTTTACTGATTTTAATTGCTTTACACGGTAAATTTTTTAAATGTATGAATAAAAATTAATTACAATACCTGAAATAACAGAGGAAAAACTTGTGTAGAGCACTGGGGAGCCGTCGCTCCAGGTTAACTTGCCATCTGGAGCCGTAACTTTAAGTCCAATGTGATGATAATAGTAGTAGTTAACTGTAGAAGAGTCGAGGTTATGCTCAGGGAAAACTGCTATAATATAAAACATCTTTGTTGGAATCATTTCTCGGTAAATATCATTAACATAACCACGTAATAGGATGACTGGATATGTATAATTTATCGACTCTACTTTAATTGACTACATAATAATAATACAGGGTCCGCCATATTTATGGCAACGGATGTTAGCTATATAAAAATAAATTGATTTCTAGGAGACTTTTCCTTTATTATGAAGCCTAATATCATCTATTAATTCCCCTATTTTATATTGCAGAAGTCTAAGGTGTCTAAATTTACTATTACCTATAGCAGTAAATAGAAATGCAATTGTAACCCTTCATGAAAAGGGCGAGAGTATTTCAGTCATTGCAAAAAGCTCCAAATTCGTCGTGAAACTGTGTGTAAGGTGCTAAAAAATTCAAGGAAACTGGTGAAACATGCAACCGACCTTGTCAAGGAAGGAAACGAAGTGTCCGAACAAAACAATTGGTTAAAAAACGAGGGAGAAGTTGAGAAAACCTCGTCGCTCAGCTGCAAAATTAGCTGCAGAAGCAGGAGTCAGTCAGATATCAGTGCGTAGAGTCCTCAAAGATGACCTCAAAATATCCCCTTACAAGATGCAAACAAGGCATGAACTAACAGACCGTCATGAACGAATGAGGCTCGAAAGATGCCAGCACATTCTGGATCTCATTGAGGATGGCACGCTGCCCAACTTGGTGTTCAGCGACGAGAGAAAATTTGACATTTAACAAAGCGTTAACCGTCAAAATGACAGAGTTTGGAGTAGAGATGGATCTGTGGCAACCAGAACAGCAACACGATATCAAAATCCCATGTCCGTGATGGTTTGGGCCGCGGTAATTGCCGCTGGGAGGTCCCCACTAGTTTTTGCCCCCTCAGGAGTGAAATTGAACAGTCAGCGATACATTTCAGACATTTTGGAAGCTGTGTTGTTACCTTGGGCCCGTAATCACTTCAACGACTCACCATGGAGTTTTCAACAAGACTTTGCCCCATCACCTGGCTCAAAAATGACCCAAAACTGGATTCAGGGTCACATCCCAGCGTTCATTGGCACAAATGAATGGCCCTCAAGAAGCCCTGATTTGAATCCTCTCGACTTTTCTCTGTTGGCTATTTTAGAGAGTAGAATCTGCAGAACACCTTATGATTCTTTGGATAATTTGGAGTCTAAATTGACAAGAGAATGGGACTTGATCCCTCAAGAAATACTGTGTGTCATCTGTGTAGCTATCTCGCGTAGATTGGAGGCCGTCATTAAAACTAAGGGTGGTCATATTGAATAAATATGTCTGAGAATTGTTTAGGTAATTCTTCGCTTCTAGCTCATCCAATAAAAAACAATGCACCTGTTTGTTTCATTGAGAAATAACAAAAAACATGCGTTGCCATAAATATGGCGGACCATATTTGTGTAATAATAATAATAATAATAAATAATAGTAATAATAATAATGATAATAATATTGATAATAATAATAATAATAATATTAATAATAGCGGTTTCAGCGTTTATTAGGCCGTAGGCCGGTCGCCGATTCTTAACATAGCAGAATATTCACAGCTTGTTGCGGGCTCGAACGCGCAACTCACTGATTCAATTTTGCTTTGCTTAACCGCCCTGCCTTCTCGCCGATTCTGACCATATAAACTGGTGCACAGAGCTGGGATCGAACCCGCGCCTCTATATATATGCTCCAATCCTGGTACTCTGAACTTTAACCACTGGGCCACCCTGCCCGCTATTATTATTATAACCGAACCCGTTATAATCTTCAGAGTATTCTTCTTGGAGGATAATTCCCTGATGAGGAGTTTGTTCTGCCATGATTTATAGAAGGTGGAAGTATGCAGAAACCGTTTGTACAGTTTAAATCTCAGTAATTTGGGAAAAACACCATGAACCTTGCGCTCCAGCACAAAAATCAATGTCCAGTGCTAACCTTACTATGGCATCTTTTGACGTGGAAAATTTATTTACCAATGAGCCTCTTCATGAAACCATTGAAATCTGCCTCTCTGTTAATATGTAAATGATCTCGTTATAGGGTTGCAACGTAGTTTTTTTTATCTCTTCTGGAATTATCTATTGTATACCTTTTTTTATATTTGCTAACAATTTTTGTCGACAGATTGACGGTTTCGGCATGAGTCTTCCGCTTGGTCCAACCTCTGCGAATATTTTCCGGTGTTTTCATAAGATTTCTTGGCTGTCCAATTGCCCTCCTGATATTGAGCAAATTTTCTACAACAGATACGTTAATGAAACTTAGTGAATTTTCAAGCATCCCTCTCATGTCAAATTCTTCCTCGATTACCTGAATTTGCTACATAAATCCAGCAAATTTACTATGGAGCTTGAATCAAACAATGGCCTGTCCTTCCTCGACTGCAATATTAATAAATTCAATGGCCACTTTCAAACTTCTGTATTCCGAAAATCGACTTCCACAGTTCTCAGTACCTGTTTTTTTAGCTCTTATTCGATTTGAGATTATTAGGCTTCAAACACTTCTACTTCGGGGCTTTCGTATATGTTCTACTCAATTACCATGCTCTGCACGCTGAATTCGATTTCATACGCAACATCGTCTCGCTTAATGGATTTCCGACTAATCTGGTGTTTAACTAAATAAAGAAATTAATGTCCAAGCCGTACAATGAGATTGCTCCCGAGCGCGACAGTAGGAATGTTGTTAATTGCTTTCTTCCATACTTAGGCCCTGCATCCTAAACTATGTCTAGGGAGCTGAATCTTTTGTTCCCAAAGAACTTCCCAAATGTTAATCTTCGTGTTTTATTTGTGAACAATTTTAAATCGGTTCTTTTTACAACACTTCTCTTTAACCTCACTTCTTGTTGTTTGTCTGTCTGTCTTTATCTTTATTCTAGAGTCACAGGATAAACATATGGGAAGGAGTTGTAAAACTGGTCTCTTGCTTCCGCGCCCCCTCATACGGCTGTGCGCACTCAAGCCGAGCAGTGCGATGTTTCTGATAATGACTTCAAGGTTTTAGCTTCCACTTCTGGTGTTTCCGATTACTACATTTTATAATCGTTATATATTTTTAAACAGAGGACTAGTTTAAATTCAGCTTTTAGCTCTTACCCATTTGAAATTGTGAATAGATAGGTTTTACCGTTCAAGTATTTTATAATCTTAACTATTAATAATTGATTTATCTGTGTTCTAGAATTCTCTAACTGACGATGGAGCTGGACTCCGAAACGTTTTTTATAAAGATTGTACGAATTTTCGTGGTGGTTTCTTTGCTTTTAAGTTTTAAATAATAATTACACAACCGCAACCTGAATATTATTCTAAAAAAAACTTAGCGGTACTATAAATAGAATGACAGGCATAAAATGCTCATATGCGAGTGAAATGAATGGTAGACTTTTATAAATTTTTACTCTCTGACACCTTCTAGATCATAAATTAGTTGATACCGTTATTACACCAGGAAAAATTCAAGAACAGCGAATCTTTTCAAGAAAACTAGCATAATGGAACATGCTAAAATCAAAATGTTTATCCTATCTTTCACGAATATATGCTATCTTTTCAACAGGTAGATGCGTATGCAATCTTATTACTAGTATTGGATGGCAGAATTAGCTTGCTTGAATAAGGGCGGTTAGTGACCGAACAATTAAATTATTTAAATTTTTTTCATGGTCAAACCTTCAGAAGACGTTGGTTGATAAAAATGCACGTTATAAGAAGTGATCCAAATTCAAAAGAAGTAATCCAAAACGAACAAATGTCATCGCTAAATGCGTCTCGTTACTTGATAATTAATTATTAGTAGATTCTAAACGTTGTTAATTAATAAAAAATAGTTCCAAAAATCTGAATTCTGATCAACCAACTTATAATGAAGGTTCGACCCTGAAAAAATTTTTAATCAATGAATTCTCTGGTCATTTACCACCCTCATTTATTAATATAATTATGCATGAGCCTAGAGTTGTATGTGGTCATACTTCTGAATAAAACGAATGTGAATATCAAATTCTGGCAAGCTGCCAGCATTTGTCTGTGTGTGTGTGTGTGTGTGTGTGTGCGGTGCCACTATGAAAGAGTAGAAAATAACGAGAAGTGATACAGAGTGGCCAAAAAGAGAAAAGCTACCATATAAATAAATGGAAAAAACGGAAAAATCATCTTCCGCACAAATGACTTTGGATGCTCTATTTGGATATTGATTGAATTATCTCCACCATCAACATATATATGTACTATCAAAACAGAACGAAGATGAGATGTATTTTCAATACACAATTATTCATCTGTTCAACATTTTTTAGTTTCATTTAGTTTTTTGTACTTGTTCGAAAAAGAAAATATGACGATGGTGATTATGATGATGAACATGAATTATTGTGAGATCAAAGTAAGACTTTGCTCGGTGGTTCGCCTCCAGTGGCGCAAGGGGGACTCGCCCGGGGCCGGCAGCTGTTGGCCCCTGGAGCGGCAAAGGATCCACCAGGGGGCGGGGGGCAATGTGGGATCAAGCCGTAAGGGGAGATGCCCAACATCCCCCCGTTCACAACAGAGGAAGAAGGGAGTAGCCGCCCCGGACCCCTCTATAAAAACTTTCGAGGCGAGGGCCCCTCGGGGGCCCGCATCGGTGCCTGCCGGACGGTGGCGAACCGTTTTGGACAGGCTGGCAGCGGCCCTTAGGGTGATTGGACTCCAGTCCATTCACCCGCACCCTGGGCCGAGGAACTGGAGGGGGCGGAGGGGAGTGGGGGAGAGGCGAAGAGAAGAGAGGAGGGGGAGGCGTCACGAGGGTCGGAGGAGGAGGAGG